ATTATGTCCAACTACAGACTACTATCATTCAGATGTGAAGACAGAAGAAAGATGTCTTTATTATACAGAACTAAAGATTCTACTGCATCCTATTTTGGTAAGCTATTCAATAATGGACTCAATAACATGAGAGGATAAACCAGATGATGTGCAATCGAGGGAACTAGAAAAAGTACAAATCATCAAGGGGAAATATGGGGATGACAGGTATATTTAGTGCACTTCTAGAGAACACTCAGGTCAGATTTGAGCAGGAAGCAGTAGAGAGCTCTAGAAGAGATGTCTCGGGAAATACATTATATAATTAATATAATGTGCTATGAGAATTCCAGCATACTATTCTTTAGCCTACCCTAGCCCTAAAATGAAATAAAAATATGAGAAAAAGCTGCAGAACAAAAATATGGTATCAATAAGATGTGATTTAAAATGTGGTGTGATTTTAATCATCATTTAGAACTGAAAAGGGAATCTATCATCAAAAATAGTATCTTGTAAGTGGATCAGGTGTTATGACACTGAAGTAAAAGGATATGTTATTTTGCCACAGTTCATGGATCTGTCATGAATAATAATTACATAGTAACAATAAAGGTACTTTTTATTATTTTCCATATTTTAGAGTAAACTTGAGATAAATTTGAAAGACTTCATTAAGGTTACATATCAGAATTCAGATGTTAGAAATCATGACTAAAAGTCAAGATATAGCTAGCAAAGAAGATGAAGGGGGAGAAGGAGGAAGGAAAGCTAGTGGTGCAGCTATTATTGCCCATGATTGCGAGTCATTCCGTGAACTGACCTAAGTGCTACACCAGGTGGGCTCAGCCAACCATAGATCTAAAATAATATTTTAAAAATTTGCATCTGTTTCAAACATGTACAGACATTTTGTTGTCATTATTTCCTTTTTTTTTTTTTTTTTTTTTTTTTCAGAACTGGGGATTGAACTCAGGTACTTGCGCTTGCCAGGGAAGCGCTTATTCCACTGAGCCATCTCCCCGGCCCATTATTTCCTAAATTACTCATTGCTACAACTAATACATAGCACTTACATTAAATTGGGTATATAAGTAATCTAGAAATGACTTAAAATATGTAGGAAGGTTTGCATAGGAGATACATAAATATTATTTATATAAAGGACTTGAGCACTCATGGAGTATTTTATTGGCAGGGATTGTGTATCTAATCAGCAGATATTTAGGGGCTGCTGTGTATTATTTGAAATTTCAAATGTAATCAAGAAGAGAAATGAAGATAGTATGATTTATTAAATATTGAAATGCAAGGTTAGAGATTTTGTGAAGATAGTTAAGGCTTTGTTTTTTTGTAACTGGATTTTGCCTGGTTTTCGTAACTACATTTTGCTCTAGAGTAATAAATCTAGAAATAGAAACTAAAAGCATATGGGATTATGGAGGTAAACATCAGAATACTAAAAACAGAAACAAAGAAGACCTCTCCTCTGGGGACAGGATATTTGGCTTTTCTCTTGTTTTCTTATGTCCAGTGCTGAAATGCTGGTGTCCTCCGGGAATCAGCCCTTGGCCTCTGTCTCACATAACACATGAATAGTAAATGGCTTACACAACTACCTGTGGACTTTTGAGTCCTGCTCTCTTAATCTCTAACCTGATTATTTTCCTAAAGGCAAGATCTTCATTCCTAAACAATCTATTTCTGCATGTCCCAGAAGCACTTAAAACTTAACGTGCTCACAGCAGAAATCATTATCTTTCTGATGAATTCCTTTGAATATAAGCTTTATTGTAATGTAATTTACATATCATAAAATTCACCTGTATTAGGTGTATAATTATTTGACATTTGTAAATATGCAGTATTGTTCAACCATTTGCCCATCCAGTTTTAGAATAATTCAGTCATTCTTAAAAGATCCCCCATGTTCATTAGCAATTGCTTTCAATTCCCACCCAAATCTCAGGCAATCGTTAATCTACACTTTGTAGATGTACATTTTCTGGATATTTCCTGTAAATGGAATTACATAATATGTGATTTTTCATGATTGGAGTCTTTTTGCTTAACATGTTTTTGAAGTTCATTCATGTTTTAGCATGTTCTAATACTTGACTCCATGTTATTGCCAAATATCACTCTGTTATATGGCCATACCAAATTTTGTTTGTCCATTCACCAGTTGATGAACATTTGAGTTGTTTCTAGTTTGGAGTGGTTACATTCTAAACATTTGCATACAGATCTTTGTGTGGACTACTGTTTTCATTTCTCTTCAGTACATTTCTCTGTTTCATTTCTCTTTGTTGTTGTTTTAAGTGTAACAGAGTGGCCTTGAACTCACTATGTAGTCTAGGCTGGCCTCAGATTTTCAGCACTCCTCCTGCTGCAGCCTCCCAAATACTGGGATTATAGCTGTGCATCACCACAACTGGCTAACTTTTTCAGCAACTATCAAACTACTTTCCAAAGTGGTTGTACCATTTTATAGTCCTACCCGCAATATATGAGAATTCTGGTTTCTCTATGTCCTTTCGACAGCTTGTTGTTGTCTGTCATTTTGATAATAGCTATTTTAGTGGATATAAAATACTATATCATTGTGGCTTTAGTATGAATTTCCCTAATAGCTATTGCTTTACTTATTTAATTTCAGCAATACTTGAAAATTATCTTTGATTTTCTTTCTTACTGTGCTCATCTATTCTGTGGGTGTACCTCTCCTAAGTATATTTTATTTTATTTTTTATTTTTTTTATTTTTTCGTGGAATCAGGGATTGAACTCAGGCCCTTGTGCTTGCCAGGCATGTGCTTATTCTACTGAGCCATCTCCCTGGCCCCTATATTTTATTTTATTGTTTTAGTTTTTCTTTGTCTTTTTTAAAAATTAATTTTATTGAGAAAGAAATAGCAATGAGACAGTTTCAAAACAGGTTAGTAGGACAGTTACAATGATTTAATACATTGCATATTGTCTTTGTAGTAGTTATTCATAGTACAAGATGCAGACATGATATCTTGTCTAAACACTATTAGTACAAATCTTTCTTCTCACTGAACTAAGAGAAAGTAGCTGTATATCTGTCCTATTTTGTATATACAGATATGTATATATATATATATATATGTATATTTTTTCACTACGAAATGGTCCTTCATTTATATCCCCCTTTTTTGTTTTGTTTTGTTGGAGATAGGTATTCCATTGCCATTCAAATATTATAGATGTGTAAATTCAGTAAAATAATCTAATATAGTCCAGTAGTCCATAATAGTAGTGGGTTATCCACAGAACTGGCAATGTCAGAAGTTGTTGACTTGAGCCTTTTACAAAAGCTCAGCATATTAATGTGGCTTTACTTTTTATACCTCATGTTTATACATTTCTGCTGGATGGTTAAGACCAAGATAAATCAAGACCTATATAACGAAAAACTGTAACTTTTGTATCTGACATTAAGTATATTTTAATTAACCCTGTCCTTTAACATATTTCTATTGCTTTTTCATTCTTATTAAAATAGCTTCCAAACTCTTTTATCTAATAACATTTCCTCTGAAGATTTTGATTGACTTTGCAAAATGCCATTAAAATGAGTTTTATAAAATGCATTTTGTAATTACTTCTTTTTGTGTCTGTCACTCCCCAGTCCAGCAAGTCCCCTGTCATTTGTTTAAGGCCAGTGGGCCACTTAGTACATGTCTGTTGACAGAAGAATGAAAAAATTATTCTTAAGTATCAAGATTACCATTGTTAATGAAATGTTACCATGAAAATCTTTACGTTTTCTACTTTAGAATTACTGTATATGGCCAAATTTTATTTGCATTGTACAAAAAGTATTTAATATAAAACTGGCATGATATGTCTCTTAACTATATCTTGAATGTCATTATAATGTTAAATGCTTTCTCACATATGATTTAGTAGGTACTCAGAAATAATAAAGTATACAGTACTGATTTTTCATAACAGTTAAACACTATAAACTAAAATAACTTATGTGACTGTGTATATGTATTTTTCTTATAACGATTATGTAAAATTACCTTTGTGGAAGATAATATGATGTTTAAAATAATTGTTTTTAGATATGTAATTATATTATTTTATTTTAATATTTTTAAAAGAACAAATGTACAGTTTCTGTGTTTTACATTGATCAAATAGTAATGTTTGAATTGTGGTTTCAGAAAAGATAACCATTAGAATTCTTGGCATACTTTAGATACTTATATGATAAAGAACCCTATGCTTGATATAAATATAAGTAGTTTTAGTCAATATTTTAAAATAGGATATTTATTTATTTATTTTTCTGTATTTAGGGCAGTGTCTACAGGGTGTTCAGAGTCTCTCTATGTAGATCAAACTCATAGTGATCCCTGGGGCAGCACAGCACACCAGGAATTGAAGCCCCATGGCTGCACTCTGCCTAAGCAGGCACTTTAGTCCGCTGAGATATCTAGGTAACCCTTAAAATAGGATTTTTTAAATATAACTTTTCTCTGTATGTAAAATAGCTTTGCCTTAGTTTTCAGGTAGTTACCTTGTCATCAGTACCAATCAAGTTCAATAATTATATATTAAATTGGATATGATGTTATAAAGCTCTCAAAACTATTATCTTCTTTCAATTTTTTAAGGTCTTCATGTCATTATATATAAATTATGTGTGATTTATAAAGAAATTAATTTCTAAAAAATCTTGTGGCACACTTGTCCATTAGCTCCATATTAAATTTTTTTTTTATCTGCAAACTTATGCAACCCTCTTGAATTATCTCTACATGCAAAGATAAATCAAGAGTCTAAAGAATGTAGTTTATTTCATAACTTTGAAACTTGGACAGTAATTTGAGAGTGCAATTTAGTACACAGCTCCTTTTCTAAGCAACTCTGAACATGTAGACTGAAGGGGTGGTTCCCACAGGTGCCTGACCTCTGTGCACAACCTGGTCCGCCTCACCTTTGCCAAACTGCAATCCTATAAATCAGAATTTTGACATGTTACAGAACGCAAGCCACAGCTGCTACAGCCTGAAGTATTTGAAAACTTTTGAAATACAGCGTGTCTGACAAAGTTCAGTTTTTGTGTGAATGAAAGTTTTGAGGTAAGCCTTATTTGTTTGGGGAAAAAAACAAACTCAGAATCAGCCAGTGATTATTTCAGATTTGTATTTGTGTATAGTTTCCTTTTTTTCCCTCCCCCACCTTTTCTGTAAGAGAAGCAATAGTTGGCTTTGGGAGAAGACCTTGGTATTACACCTGTGTTAATAAGAAGTTTTAGATTAAGATTTCTGTTATAATCTTTTTTTAATTTCTGTTAGAATCTTAAATCAGGAATACACTTCTTTAGCTTATAATGCTAAGTATAAAATGTTTCATCTCTTTAAATATATTTTTATTTCCTTTGTTTCTAGTATAAGCAAAAAATTTCACACACAGACATGTCTCATTAGCTACTTTGCTTTGCCAGGTGCCAGACATTTTTCTAAAATAAAGGCATGTGTATACTGATACCTGTAATGTGCAATTTACAGTAAACTTAGAGATGCTTTTACAAAAGTTTTAAGGGTTCAGTAGAAATGCAAACATTTTAAATACTATTAGAAATTTTTCTATAGTATATTTCACTGTTTTCAATAAATAGTAAGAAAGGGGGCAGTTACTGATTTTTTTTTAAAAAGCAAGATCATTAATTATAGCCTTTATGAAAAACCAAAAAGTCAATTCAGGTCAGTTCACCTTCTGTCTCATGTTTCATATATAATTTTGTATAGTATACTACTATATGTAAAATATTTATTAAGAGCAAAATTAGTTGAATTTTTCTGCATAATTTTAAGATTGAATCACATTACTTATGCAGTAATTCATACTTATCACATTTATGTCTTTTAATGTTGTTTAGTTGTCTCATTCAGATTGCATTGATATATAATGTATATTTATAAAGTAAATGTTTTATTTAATTTTGTCACACATATAATCTTATTTTCAACATCTAAGAGTATCACTGTTAGAATATTTGATACTTTATAGTAACTTCAAGAGAAGATAATTTTCTTAAATTATTAATTTTGAACTATTTTAGGTGCTGTTTTTCAACCCTAATCTTTTCAACAAGAATGAAACTATTTAAAAATTAAGATGCCAACAGGTAATTTCTTATAAGTTTATACTTTTGTCAATGTGTGTCATTTAGCAATAGAACAGCAGTACATGAACATAAGGCTATAATGTTCCCTATCTAAAATCATTCCAAGCATATGAAATATTTTGACTTTGAAAATTCTTATTATTCTACCATAAAACTCTTTTATTTTAGATTTACATGATTTAATGGCTTTTACAAGCTGGCAGATTTTAGTTTATACTCTCTGATACCAACTTTTCTTTTTTGTACTTTTTAAAGAGAATACAAAATGGTAAAAAATAATAAGGATACAGAATTTCACTAAACAAAATAATAGGAATTGGACAATGGTTGTTGTATTACATAATGTGATCTTCATATTAGTTGTTCAGATTACCAGATATAGACATGCACAATTGATAAAGTTAAGAAATTAAAAGCAAGAAAAAAAATAAGCATTAACTTTTCAAAGAATAAATGAAGTCAGAATAAGAATAAAAATAGATTTACAAATAGTCATTTGAGTTAGATGAATATTTTATTGATAAAAATTTAAATACTGAAATATGTTGTTATAATCTGGTTAAAAAGCAGGACATAATTTTGGCTGTGAAAAAGTTACATTCTGTCCTCAGTAGGAAACAATATGTACAGACGTCATGATTCTGATATGATATAATGTTAATTGATATTTTATTTGCTAGATAGATTGTTCTTAAATAATTGGATATTAGTGAAGTTGTTTATTTAAAAAGCATGATATTATGTAAAAGGAAAAAATCTTAGTTTTGGTTTCTTTTCTTTTTGGACATAAATTCTCTGTGGTTCTATTTTCTTATGTACATTTATAACTTTTGTAACTTATAATAGATGTTGAAACAAGTTCTTTTTAATCAAAGAAAAAGTTCTAAAATGTGAAGCTCTGATTCTGGGGACATTTGGCTCATAACAATTATATCTTAACAGGTATTAACTTCTTAGTGGCAAATGTATTAGAAAGGTTTTTTTTTAAAAAAAATGGTATGTTATTTTTTAAATGTCAAGCTGAATGGCAAATAGGAGTAATGCTATTTTCTTCTTCACATTAGATGATTCTGGGTCATTTCTTAGAAACACTGTGCAGTTTAAAAGCAATGTAATGCTCACTTTAAGGCCAAAAGATGAAAATCTTCTAATCATATACAATAAATAGTAAATGACTTAATAAATTTGAATGTGTATTGTCATTTTTCTGTACAGTGGTTTTGATGACAAAGAGTGAAAAGAAAGGGATTTTCTATTTCTTTTTCTTTTTTCTTTTCTTTTCTTTTTTTTTTTTTTTTGTACTGGGAATCAAACTCAGAACCCTGTGATTGTGAGGCAGGTGCTTATTCCACTGAGCTATACCCCTGGCTTGTTTTTTTGTTTTGTTTTTCTTTTTTTTTTTTTTTAAGATTAGGGGTGTAATCCTAGCACTTGGAAGTCTGAGACAGAATTGCTTGAGCTCAAGGCTAGCCTGCCTACATAATGAGTTCAAGGTTAGCTTGAACTATATAGCAAGACTCTGTCTAGAGAAAGAAAGAAAGAAAGAGTAGGGGTGGAAGTGAGTCAGGAAAAAGTACCAAAGGAGTAAAGGGAGACAAAGAGATGACAGATAAAGGAAAGGCCAGAGATAAGGAAATAAAGGTGGAGAAGAAGAGGGAGAAAAATGAGAAATGGAAGTTTATTTTCTCAATATTTTAAAGTTTTGGCTATATGTTAAGCAAAAATTAGGGGTTTTTTCATTTTATTTGATAATCTTTATAATTACTAGCTATTACTTAAGATCCCTTTGCAAACAAAAGCCTTATGAGATTATATTACTTTTTGGGTTTGACACTAGTTGTCACGTATAGGAGTATTTAGAGATCATTTTGAAAATCTAAATTTAATCTAAATTTTTCCCCACTACGTTTTTAGATTGTAATGTATTTGAGACCTAAAAGGAAAAAAATAATAAACCTTAGGACAGGAAAACTGTAAGTAATATTGCAGTATCATTGTACTAAATGAGAAAGGCTCTGTTTATTCTAAGACCCTGATCACTGCCTTTTTATCTAATTAACTTAGAGATTTTTAAATTCTGTTATATCTACCTAAATCCATGGAAATTAATGGCCACATCATTATTGTATATTAATTTTTCTCTCAAAAGGACAAATGCCCTGCCTATGAAACAAGGAATAAAATTCTTTCATTTTGAGAAAAAAATTCTTCATTGTAACTTTTAGAACTACTATTTCATTCTAAGATTAATTGTTCCTATTCCTGGTTGCACTAGAAAACTTTTAATGTGCCTTTCTCTGTCCCATATGATGTATGTTTTAGATCACGAGGAGCCCTGTGGTCCCAGTCACAGGTCATTTTGCCTGAATGGGGGGATTTGTTATGTGATACCTACTATTGCCAGCCCATTTTGTAGGTGAGTGAAATGGACTGGGGGGAAGGGTACTTTTATTTTTTTTATCATCTGTTAACTTCTGTGAGAGATGATTAAAAAGTATAAAATAAAAAGATTTTGGAGAATATTTTTATGCCCTCTTTATGTAGGGCAAAATTGTGATTTTCAAACAGCGAAACAAAGTATCAAATAAAAATGTCATTCAAGATCTTTATTTTTAAAATTGGTATTGGTAGTTTCTAGCCTTAGACAGGTTTTGGCAAGTCCATTTTAGTGAACTTGAATTTTAGCAATTCAGAAGAAGTGGGTCTGTTTAGTATTGCTGATAGAACAGCTGGAGAATTCAGTAATATAAGAAACTTAGTGTGAAACAATTTGTATTAAAAATGTATAAATACAAGATAACTGAGTTGACACCAAAGAAAATAGATTTGTTTTTCTGTTGTTGGTAAAGTAAGAAAAAAACATTTCTCAGCCTTTATTGTTTTTAAATGATTCATTTTGGGAACATATATAGATCAAGAAATCAGTGAAAGCTTTCAAAACAGTACTTATCTAGCTGGCTTCCTATAGTTAAGATGTGAGAGCATACATTAATCTGAGTGAACAACATATTGGCAGAGAAGCCCATAGGCTTTGTGAGATTGCTGCTTAACCACCTCAAGATACTTTACCACTTGTGTGAAGTACAGTAATTGTTTGTATTGTGACTGAAATAAATATAGAAACTACATTTCAAATTTAAGATCTTGTTAAATGAAAGGACAGAATGGTACAATTCATGTGAAAAGTTTAAAATGTCGGGATTCAGTTTGAAGCAGAGGAGACAGGTAAGTACTTTCACATTTAAATACTTCTAGGGATTTTCACTTGGGACTAGTGTCTAGTGAATACATAAAGGAAAGAAAATAGAGTAGCAAACTAAAATTCCTCAACACCACCAATATCTATCATACTCAATATTATGTTTTTCCTAAAATCTACTTGCTGAGAGGTAAATTATGTGTGATAAACTTAAAGCACACAATTGCTGAAATTCGGCAGATGTTTATACTGTATCCATGAGACCACCACCACCACATTAAAATATTTCCATTGCCTTCCTGTATTCCCACCACAAATCTATCTACTGCACTGTTCATCATTTATGCAGCTACGTTCGTTCTCACAAAAACCTTAGAGAAAGGAGGCAGGAAGACCTTATGAAATAAAAAAGTAACCCCCCAAAATGAGAAATTAAGTGACATGACAAATGTCACACAGCAAGAGATGGCCTTAGATATAGTTTCTATCTCTTTAACCTTATAATCATTCTGAATCCTTTCTAACTAGATAAGACACATGGCATTTATAAAGCAGAATTTAAATGTTTTAGATACACATTTAACAATTATGAGATACTGTTTTGTGTCTTACTAGCAAAGTAAATACTGACCTTTTTCCATTGTGTTGTCTTTGCGTCTTTGTCAAGAATCAGCTAACCAGCTGTGTGTGAGCCTCTGTTAATCTGTTTCTTTTTGCCAATTCCAAGTAGTATGAGTTCACAATAAGCAAAATTGGGTAGTATGGGTCCTTAACTTAATTCTTCCTCTCATTGGTGTTTAGCTTTCTTTTCTAATAGGTAACATTTATTGTTAACAAGGCTTCAAGCATATTTTAGCTTAATCCTACAAATTCTATACTTTTTTCAGTTCTAAGTTTGAATTTTTTATCATAATTTTTTCTTTAACCTGTGTGTTGTTGTTACCTTTTTATATCTGATTGCACTGTGGTCTATGAACTTAATCCATTAAATTTCTGCACTGAATAAGTTAAAAGGAAAGAATTAAAGAGGACTGGAATTTGGTGAGTAAGAAAGTTTCTGAGACTTATTCTTATTTTCCCTATCCTCTCTGCTCCTTCATTAGTAATATTTGTGTGCTAAAGTAGTATTCTAGTGTCCCTTTTTCTTCTGTACCAATTCTATGTACAATGTTGCTGTAGTGATGTTTATAAAAAGCAGAATAGATTTTTTTTTTCTATTCACAAGATCTTCCAAGGGTTTCTTGTGCCCCAGGGTAGACTGAATTTCTTAGCCTGGTATTCAAGGTTCTTCATGTTAGTCTGCTCCATTTGGCATACTTTCCAGTAACTTCTTTTTACATATCTTGAGTTCTAACATCCTGTACTGTATGCTTTTCTCAGATAAGCTGAATATAACTTGCTTTGGCAGATGTTAGTCCTCCTGTCTGAAATAGCTGTCTTTCTTTGTCCATGAAGTAATCTACCTTATATTTCTGAGAAGTCTGTGTCCTAACCAGGCAGATGCAATGGCTCTTTCCTGTATATCCCTGTAAGACAAGTGTTATACTGGCATAGGGCAACCTGTAATCTGTAAAAGTTTTAAATTTTGAGCTGGGTGTGATGGCACACACCTGTAATTCTAGCACTTGGGAGGCTGAAGTAGGAGGATCATCACAAGTTTCAAGACTGGCCTAGGCTATGAAGTGAGCTCCAGGCCACCCTGAACTGCATAGTGAGACCCTGTCTCAAAAAGACAAAATAAATAATAAGTAAATAATAAATTTTGATGAAATCTAATTTGTTTTATTTTGTTGTTATAGCTAAGAAATAATTGCCAAATCCTACATCATGAACTTTTTACTTAATGTTTTGTCCTAAGAGTTTTTCTTCTTATATTTAGGTCTTTGAATTAGTTTTTATATATGTATGATACAATAAGGTCTTTTGAATGTGTCCAGTTTATCCAGCACCATTTGTTTAAAAATTGTCCTTTACTCTTTGAATGTCTTGGTAACTTGACCATACGTGGGAGGATTTGTTTCTGGGTTCTGTATCCTAGTCTACTAGTCCATATGTCTTATCTTAATGCCATGATTAGCCTGCTTCAATACTATAGCTATATATTAAATTTTGAACTCATGAAATGCAAGTTCTCAGATTTTTCCTTCAAGAATGTTTTAGTTGACATTCTTTGAAATTTATATGAATTTTGGAATGGATTCTCCAATTTTTTTAGAAAAGCATCTATTTGATTTTTACTTATTCCTTTTTGGTGGAAGGAATGAGATCTCTCTGTGCTACCATGTTGGTCATGAACTCACAGGCTCAAGCAGTCCTACTACCTTGGCTTCTTGAGTAACTAGAATTACATGCACCTACACCAAATCTAGTTTCTATTTGGTTTTGATCAGATTGTCTTGAGTACTCCTAGAGCAATTTTTTATTTACCAGACATTGTCAGTGAAAGCTATAGATAATTTAAGACTTTTGATCATATTATCATTCTTTAGGTAGAAATACCAGTAGCCCTAGATCATCTAATCAGTGATTGAGACTATTCTAAGCTAGGCTTTGGCTACTGTGCAAACTAATGTATCTGGTATACATGTTGTTTAAGATGAACTTTGGAATCAGTTTATCTATTTCCAAAGACTATTGCTAGAATTTATATTGGAATTGAATCTTTAGGACAAATAAAAGGAGACTTGGTGTCTTAATGAAGGTGAAGACTTCTAGTCCCTGAACATATATCTTTGTTTTTTGGGTTTTTAAAATGTATTTCATATAGGGTCTATAGGGTCTCACTACACAGATCAATCAGACTCCTAGTGATTCTCCTGTTTTCAGCCTCCCAAGTGCTGGGATCACAGGTGCATACCACCACACCAAGTCTCAGTCACCATCTCAGTGTGCCCTGGGGATGAGGCCAGTACCGCATGCCAGGGATCGAACCATGGCCACTGTGCTCTGTCTAAGCAGGCCTTTTAGTCTGCTGAGCTATCTGGGTGGCCACCCTGAACATATATCTTGATTAAATTTCTGTAATACCCATTTTTTTTACAGTAGAGGCACATTAGTAGTGCTTTTGCATGTTTGGTTTGGTTCAGTTAGGTTTGGTTGGTTTTATGTAGCTCAGGCTGGCTTTGAGCTCACAGCAATCCTCCTGCCTCAGTCTCTTGAGTGCTGGGATTACAGGTGTGCACCACCCTGCCTGGCCTTTCATTTGTTTTTAAAAATAGATATTTAAACAATTAAAATGCCCATCAACTGAGAAATGAATACAAAATATGTAGTATTTTTATACAGTGGAGTACTACTCAGCTATAAAGAAGGATAAACTGGAGACTTTTATAGGTAAATGGGTTCACCTTGAGACCATACTCATAAGTGAGAAATTGAAAAAGTAAATAAGGTCTAGAACGTATAATAGATACTGTGAAATGGGAAGTAATTGTTTACAAAGAAAAAAGAACTGGGGGGAAGGGCAAAGGAAGGAGGAAAAAAGAAGAAAAATGCAAGTTAACTATACTGTTACTGTCTTAGTTCATTGAAAAGGAAGGTTTGTGTAAATATTGGTTGGAGAATTTTTATGCCCTTTTTTTTACTCTGAATAACTCATTTGAAGATAATAATATGCAATATATTAACTATTGTTACTCTCTTTTTTAAAATTTAAACTTTTAACTTTTACAGAAATTTTTAGAAATTAATAATTTTGTACTAGCATTTAAAATACCATTTTCCAAATGCTGTTAGTATAGAAATAAAATTATTTTTGGAGCTAGGGACATAGCTCAGTAGCATAAATGCCTGCCTGGCTAGTGCAGAGTCCCAAGTTCAATCCTTCTTTCTGCAAAAATATATATGTTATTTTCATACTGATCTTATGTGTAATGATCTTACTGAATCCTGGTTAGGGTAGATAGTCTTAGAGGAGGAACAATTATATCATCTTTTATTTATTTATTTATTTTCTGTATTTAGGACAGGGCCTACAGGGTCTCACTACACAGATCAGACACATCATGAGTCTCCGGTTTTCAGCCTCTCAAATGCTAGGATTACAGGTGCGCACCACCATGCCCAGTCTCAATCGCTGTCTCGACACCCCCCGTGGGCGGGGCTGGCACGGCACACCAGGATCAAACCCCGACCGCTGCACTCTGCCAAAGTGGGAGCTTTAGTCCGCTGAGCTATCAGGATGGCCCTATATGTCATCTTTCAAATGACAACTGTGC